TACTTCCTAGGAATTGAGGTTGCTCACTCACAACTTGGCCTTTCATTATGTCAAAGAAAAATACTGCTTAGGCCTTATGTAAGATTCATAAATGCTATATGTAAAACCAGCTTCTACTCCATCAGATCCATCAACTAAACTTCATAAAGATTCAAGTGCACCATACCATGATATTTCTGCATATAGTAGACTTGTTGGGAGGCTTCTTTACCTGAACGCTACAAGACATGATATCACATTCTGTACCCAACAACTAAGTCAATTTTTATCTGCTTCAACTGTTAATCATTTCAATGCAACCACTCGGGTTCTAAGGTACTTGAAGTCATGTCTTGGGAGGGGCATCTTCTTACCAAGAAATTCTCAATTAAGCAGGGATATTCAGATGCTGACTAGGCTAGTTGTTCAGAACTGGAATATCTATTTCTGGTCAGTGCTTCTTTCTTAGAAGATCACTTATTTCATGGAGAACTAAGAAACAATTGACTGTCTCGAGGTCCTCAAGTGAAGCTGAATATCGAGCTCTAGTTGCTGTAACTTGTGAGCTTTAATGGCTTGCATACCTATTTAAAGATTTACATGTTGAATGCATAAAGATTCCAGTGTTGTACCGTGACAACCAAAGTGAATTACACATTGATGCTAATCCTGTATTCCATGAAAGAACCAAACATCTAGAAATAGATTGTCACATTGTTAGGGAGAAGATGTTGAATGGATTAATAAAATTACTTCCATGTACTTTAAATGATCAGCTAGCATATTTCTTCACAAAACAACTGTTGCCTCAACCATTTAACAATTTGTTATCCAAGTTAATGATGCTTGACATTTATCAACCATCAACTTATGGGAGGGTGTTACAACATGAGATTCCTTTGAGTATAAGCAAGATGAAGGATGGCATGGCACATGAGCAATTAACAAATTAACGAATTGTTAGTTATTACGGTTAGAATTAGTTAAAGTTTATAATTCAATGCATGGTTATGTATAGTAGTAGAGATATACCTTACTTGCTATATAAGTAAGAAGTGTAATTCATCTTTGAAGTTAATGAAACTAGATGCAATTACTCCAATTATTTTTAATTCATAATACTTACTTTCTCTTCACTTCAAATTAGGGGTGGAAATAAACTAGGTTAGACTAGGCTTTATAAGACTTGAATCTGACCTATTATAAATTTAAAAGGCCTGAGTCTGACTTATGACATATTATAGGCTCTTTTTTTTTTTTTAACCTGGTCTTTTTAAAAGTATGACCTAACCTGAAAGCCTATTTAAAAACATGTTTCTCATTAAGGTTTCCAATTAATGCATATTAATTAAAAAGCTTTAATAGTCAGCCTATATATATATATATATATATATATATATATATATATATATATATATATATATATATATATATATATATATATATATATATATATATATATATATATATATATATATATATATATATATATATATATATATATATATATATATATATATATATATATATATATATATATGTGTGTGTGTGTGTGTGTCAATCTATTTATTATTTGTTCTAATATATATATATATATATATATATATATATATATATATATATATATATATATATATATATATATATATATATATATATATATATATATATATATATATATATATATATATATATATATATATATATATATATATATATATATATATATATATATATGTGTCAATCTATTTATTATTTGTTCTAATATATGCATATATAGACCAAAACCATTGTTCTAATATATATGCATATATAGGCCAACTTATTTAACATATTTTTAATATATACGAAAATATAGATCAATTTATAAAATTTTATAGACTTTATTAATAATCTAAATCTAACGTATTTAATTAAATAAGATTAAAAAAAAAAGTTAAACTTAGACATTTTTATTAAAAAAGTCTAACCTGAACCAACCTTAAATAAGTTAGATCATATCCTACTTTCAATAAAATCTATTTTATTTTCTACCTATTTTCATTCTTTTAATAGTTTCTTTTTCCTTTGAGTTTCCATTCGTTTTATTTTCTGTCCTCATCGACCCACAATTCAACGGCCTATATTGTGAGATACGATACCAGGTTTGTGTGCATGAATATGCCACCGTTCTCAATTCAACTCTTGTCTTGGTGCCCACCATCACCAGATAATAAACAACTACATTGGATAGCGCCACACAACCACCACAATTTCTTATCGAAACCCTAGCTCGCATTTGCCACTCTTCGGAACTGCCTTCGCCGTGCCTTCCGTCGTGCCTTGGTCACGGCTGAGCAGGTAACTTACCTCACATTCATTTTCATTGCTGTTGAAATTTTTTTGTTTCCTCTTTATGCTGTGAGCCTGTGATTTTTGTGTGTGCTGATTTAGGGAGTTGGTGGATATGAATCCTGTAATTATAATTGTAATTGCCTCCTTTTGAATTTTGAAATCGAGTTTGGTGCTGGATTTATTAATAATTGACTTCAATGTGTGATATGGATCATCTGTGAGTTTCTGGTTTCACGGTTAAGTGGCATTTTGTTGGTTTCTTGGGGAGATTTCCATGTTTATGATATTTGAGAACGAAATGAATTCATTTTCAGTTTCGGTATGATTAGTATCCTTACTATACTTGTACAGAGAGTAAGTCAACCATGATATACACCCCAACTGCAAGTAAGTAGTAACTTAGATAGCCTGACAGGACACATAGGTGCAAGACACTTCTTTCGCATATGCCTGACTCATTTGATGACCTAAGTTAGCCATCTGATATAGATCATGGTGGAGCGAAGACAATTGTCAACTTTGATATATATTATATTTTGATAGGAAAGTATTTGTTACTAATAATTAGTAAGTAGTGGTTATGCTAGTTTATATGATATGAACTTTGGATCTTCTGATTTGAACTCCTACAATATCCCTCAGCTCACCAACTGATTTGCCTACTGAGGGGAGGAGATTCTGGTGCACCTATACCACTCAAATCAACTAACTGCATTAGAGTCATCAGCAAATCAAAAGTGAGGAAAGCAATATTAACCTCCTAGTTTTTTTGGTCTTTATCACATGCATCGGATTATTGACAGAGTACTGCCTTGTCAATTGTCATTCTCTCAAACTCTCCTCTCTACCGACCAAAAGGTTGTGTTTGTACAGAAGGGCCACTACTTGAATTTGAGTTGAGCTAGAACTTCCTGTAACTGTTCCTACTAATGATTTCAACCTGTAGGGTGGTTTGCACGTGATGTCACCTTCGAAACTATACGCCCCGATTAGGCTATATTGAAGCGGTGTACCTGCAGTTGGAAACAGATCACTCTAGTTAATTGCAGTTAACTAAAATTTAAAATGTGAGATAAGCTTAGATTGATGAGGTAGGTGCATTATACATTTGAGCTGTTTTTTGGAATAAGTGATGTGGATCCTGTTAGATGGCTAAGATCAAAATGGAGATGCCTATTGATTTGTAGCTTTGGTCCTTCTAACTTTCTTTAATTTGTTATTCTTTATCTTTAAGATAGTGTGCTAAGAGATGTCTACCGGCAGTCTGTGTGTTTTAGAGCTCATTATAAAACATACAGCCTCGATTCATCCTGAGATTTGCAGCTACTGATTTTCTAGGTTACCTATTAGTTTTTTACTTCTTGTTACCATTTTTTGCATTGGGTTTGGACCTAAAAGGAGAGTTATAAAAGAGGTAGTGTAGTCTTGTAGAAATCATGCAAAACTTTATTTTTCTGTTCATTTTAAAAAAAAATGCTATTGCCCATTTGTCTATTATTTGATTTTCTTTTTTTCTTTAGGTAGAGTTTACATGTCTTTTACCTCTGGTTTTCCTTCCATTTTATTAAATTTGAATAACTCAGTAAAATTTGATATCATGACACTTGGAGCATGTTTAATAATGGTTGATACCTACTAAAAATATGTATGTCTATCAAGCCTTGTAAATGAATATCTTGTGTTACCACCTCTAGTAATTCTACCACTAAACATTGACATGCTTTTGATTTGATTGTATATCTATCATCTTACCGGGCTTGTTTATTTGAGTTTTTCACACTGATCACCAACTATAGAATGGATATTAATTATAGCATTATACGGTTATTCAAAACGACAGTTCAATTTGATGAAACTTAAATCCTGGTCTTGTTGGAAAAGCAAAGAGAATTTGTGAAGCTAGCAAGCAGATAGGTGAGTTTGAGTGTGAACTAGTTTTTGTGTGAAACTTTTGAGCTTGTTGATTGTGCTGTGCTGATCTTGTACTTGCATTTTCGCTTTACTTCACCAACATTGGCACCTCTCTCTTCATGTATTGATTGGTTTGGCTTGTTTTGTTGTTCATTTGAGAATATCCCAAATACAATCAGAATGTTATACTCCCTCCGTTTTTTATTATAAGTCGCTTTGGGGAAAAAATTGTACCAAATTATAAGTCGTTTTACAATACCAATGAGTCATTAATTTATTTTCCTGTTATACACTTAAGTATATATTATTCTCTCCTTTTAATTCTTTCAATTTATCTTTTACAATTAATGAACGACTCTTTTCCATACAACAATGACTACATTTCTTAATACGTGTGAAAATGTCAAAATGACTTATATTAAAAAACGGAGGGGGTATTTTATTTAAAATATAAGTGGTTTGCCAGCTTTTCTAAACAATTATCGCAATTAGTTCATTATTCAGTTAGATCTTCTTTGTATTCTTACAAGTTTATATATCAAAGCCATTTGAATATTGCTTATTTATTCATATTATCTTGTTTAGGTTCTTTTTTATTTGGTTTATGCATTATAGACTTGCATAGGTACAATTGATGGTGAGCATTTACCTCAAGTGCATGGGGGTTCCTGCTCAGAAACTAATTTTGTTCTTTTCAGCGTACAACTAACCGCTGTCTTTATTCATACATTTAGATTCTTTCAAGTTCAAACTATATGCTGCAATTATCATTCCACATGACAGCAACAGCCATTCTTTGCTATAATCCATCTAACAACTTTTTGAGGACAAATCAGCCTAAACAAAGATACTTGAAAAATAATTCATTTTCTTCCAGTTTATCTGCTTCAAGATCATTCACTTGTGGGTTTGCTCCTTTCAAACTCTTGGTGAAAAGGGCGATGGATGGATCTGTAAGAACTGCTTACAGAGATGGAAAGAGTGATGAACATATTGAAGTGCTTGAACAAGAAGCTTTTGTTGATAGGTCATCTGAGGTTCAGCCTAAGTTTTTGTTCCAAGAGGTGGAATCAACTCTTAACCGACTGGTTGGTAATCCATGACCTTCCCAAATTGGCACTCCATGTTAGTTTTTTTTTTTCTGCTCATTTTTTGTTTTGTATGAGTCTCTAGGATAGGACTTTGATATGTGATTTTATTGAAAAAATAAACTGGAAACTTTTTCTCCATTCAGAATCCAGAGATTCATCAACATTCATTGATGATATACTTATTGGAAAAGAAAGGAAACAAAAGGATTTAAAAACTTGGTTAGCAACAATCATCTAGTATCCATTCTTAATAGCTTAAGGACTTATTACTACCATACAGTATCCTAACGATTGAGCAACCAAAGTGCATGACTAGGATAACAAACTGATAATTTTGCTATTTACCAAGCCTATCATACAAATCTAAAGCCAACTCTATTGCTTAAGGATTTTGGAAGTAGCCTTTTTGTATTCTTCATATTTAGCTAACTGTTAAGTTATAGAAAATGAGCATACTTCACTATAGTCATTGAATGCATGCTGAATATCGGTTCGAGCTTTGAGAGCTCCTACTGAGTTTCCAGTTACTGATATGCTGGAATCATGGTGCGGTAAGATTGTTGCTATTGCTAATGTTCAGGGTGCGGTAAGACCCCGTTTCCTTCATGGAGCCGTTTTAAACAACAAACAATGTTTATGAGAATGAGATCATTGCTTCCATGATCATTCTGTTTGATTCAAAGTGCTGTCATTTAGTGAAGAAATATACAACAAAGAAAATCTTCCACAACATAACTCTACTTTTGGAACTAAAAAACCGAGTTCAAGTTTATTAAGTGGCATTGAAGTTACTTTTTTTTTTTTTTTTTTTTTTTCATTTTCAGTTTATGTTTTAACTAATAATAATTCCAAAAATATCACCATGAATTTTAAAAAGAAATGATTATAACACAAAATAAAAATCAATGGGAAGATAAGTTAATATTTTGTAATTGTAAAGGAAAACATATGAATAAAAAATGGACAAACCATATATTGCTCATGTTAAAACTGAAACTGCTATAATATATTTAAATGCTCCTCTTAAGGAGCTGCCATTGTATTATATTAGGTGAACATTAAACTGTTAATGCCTTTTTATCAACTAATGTTGCTGTTGTTTACAGAGCAAGTGGATAGTATCTGCCCTCTTTGGTATTTTTGTTATTTGGAGGCATGATGCAGAAGCCCTGTGGTTTGCAGGGGGATCTGTTGTAAATGCAGTGCTTTCTGTTTTACTGAAACAAATATTGAATCAGAAACGACCTTCAACTCTGAAATCTGACCCTGGGATGCCATCTTCACATTCTCAAGCCATCTTCTTTGCTGTCATGTTTACTATCTTGTCAAGTAATTTCTCCCACCTTTTATTTCCATTCAAATCCTCAGTTACAAAAGACTAACTGCCCCTGATTTGTGATAAGTTCATGTCTGTCAAAATGTACTCTATCTGTATCTCCTAGGGCACGTTTGGAAGTTGAGAACTTTGGAGGGTCACGTCTATATTTTGAAATTTATATGCAATTTTTAAATTTTATGAAAACATAGATCTGGTGAAAGGAACTGATATTGGTTTGTTTGTAATTGTAAATCATGTTAAGTGATTCTCAAGCACTTAATATGTTCAATCTTATAGTGTTAACAATTGAAGTGGATAGTTTAAACTTCATCGAGCTGATTGACTCAATTTGCATGTTTCTTTGATGGTTATGCAGGTATTGAATCGTTTAGAATCAATGCATTCACCATTACTAGCAGTGGCCTGATTTTGGCACTTGGTTCTTATTTGGTGAGCATATGGATTTTTCCAATTTAGTTGTATGACATATTCTTTATTATCATTTCATTTGGCATGGTACCTTACTTTCTGTTTTTTTTTGTGATCCATGACATTGCTGCTTGTGCCAATGACTGTAGTTTTCAATTTGAAGTTTACTATCATGATGTTCAATGCTAGCTTCTCATGCTTATTCTATGTTTGCAGTCATACCTGCGAGTCTCGCAAAAGCTCCACACAGTGAGCCAAGTGGTTGTTGGAGCTGTTGTCGGGTCCATTTTCTCTATCTCATGGTATTGGTTATGGAATACTTCTGTGCTAGATGCTTTTGCATCCTCTTTGTGGGTCAGAATCGTTGTTATTATAGGGTCTGCAGGCGTTTGCTTAGGTTTTCTTTTACATGTGGTTCGACATTGGCTTAAAGACATTGAAATTTGATCAAAATGTGTTATTATAACACCAAAATTGTACCATATGCTGTAAATGTAAGGACTGAGGCATTTTATTATGGATCATTGTAAAATTGAATTTTGACAATATATTTTCATTAGTTTTCTTATTACAAATGAATGTGTAGCTATCAAATGAGTCCTTAGCCACCGCTATGCTAACTCCCACATATCATTTCCTCTTTTCAGCAATGTTTCTTTTTAATTCTTTTTGGAATAATTAGGCTTAATTGTCCTTATAGTCCTCTATTCTAACATATTATTTGCATCTACATGACAACTTTGCAACATATTTCCTGTTAATTTCCCGGTTTTTGAATAATTGTTACTAAAAAAATTACTAGATCAAGTTGTGGACGTTTCGATGCACTGCACCACAATGTATGACAAATAATTAGTCTAGAAGTACACCCTCTGATGGAACTATGACATGTTGAATATGGTATAAATATCATTCTTAGTATATGATTTTTATACCAATAGTAGATGGTGTGAAGAAGTCACTCAAAGAAGAAAAAAAAAAACAGAATAAAATTATAGATGAAACGGAGACAAGAGAGAGCAGAAAGATTTTGAAATAGATAAATTTAGAGTCAAGATGAGATGGAAATGCGAAATGCCTCTATTTATAGGCAAAAATCTGAGTCGAATGAGAGTAAACGTGGGAGAAACGAAGCAGATTCAATTTAAAACTAGCTGTTATGGAACTTGGTCAGTAAAAAATTGTAGAAACATGGAAGACAAGCAAAATCAGTCACATTTAAGATTAACTTGAAAGATAAGGCAAACCTGGTCAAATTCGGGATATTATTAGTGACAACATACCAATTAATTAATTAATTAATATATTTATTAATATACAACATATAAATTAATTAATATTAAATCATTTTCACAATTTCGGGTATTAGAAAATGATGGATCATCCAATCCCAAATCGAATCGAACCAAGTAGAGCCGAGTTGGTCAGACAGACGAGTAGCGACGGGCGCACATGTGATGGTTCATGGTGATTCGTCCTCACTTTTCACGATCCTTTAGGGCACGTCCTAAGAGACAAATCTTCTATATATAAGCACTACTAAAGTATGATATCCCATCAATATGAGACTGATAAACTTTTTCAAATTCACCTCTACACAATCTAACTCTTACTCGTGTTTATTTATTGCCAACTTAAAGCCAACAATTCTTTCAAGTTTTCCATTATTCTTTCATTTTCAAAAATTCTCCACTTGAATTTAAAAAAGTGATTTTAGAAGTAACGTCAAATATTTTTAAGATTGTGGATAAACAAAAGTGTCTGCGACTTGAACCTTTGCGTAGTAAGTATGATTCAGATTTAACAAGAGTGAGATAGTTGTCTTGAACTCTATCTCATACATCAAACTCACACACAAGCATTTCTTAAGGTGTGTTCTAATAATCTCATGTTTTAATGGTCATGCACGTATATGCTAGTTTAGCGAAGGCTCTAGAAATTTTGTCTCAAAATTCCATAAGAATCGACATAAGTTTCAAAATCACATAGGCTAGTCTATCAAGATTACTCTTGTAGCTAGGTACTTCCTCATACAGAGTATAAATCTCATCCTTTTTTCGCTTTAGGATTCATGTTTCTCTTATTTATACTAGCATAGTCATATGATATTTCTCATAACTTGTTATTATCTATTGAATCCATTTCTTGAGATCTCTAATCTAGTTAGTCGGGTTACCATCATAAGAAGTTTATTTCTCTATAGGAATTAGTCTCATCTTATTGGATGCATTATGTACTTTCTCTCTAGCTAATCCTTTCGTCAAAGGATCTGCTAAATTTTTATCAGTGCGTACATGATCCAGTCTTACAACTCCTTTAGAGATATGGTCTATAATAGTATTGTGTTTCCTTCTTATTTGACGTCTCTTACTATTAAAATAAAGATTCTCAATTTTTGCAATAGTCACAGTACTACCGTAGTGGATCAAAATAGTTGTCATAGGCTTTTCCCATAAAGGAATCTCTGCTAGCAAGTATCTTACCAACTTACTTCTTTACTAATAGTTGCTATTGATATCATTTCAGACTCAATCGTGGATTGAGCCAAGATAGCATGTTTCTTTGATTTCTAAGATACATTTCCTCCAACTATACATAATATATAGTCACTAGTTACTTTGGAATAATCTAATAAGGTGTTCCAATTCACAGCTTTGTATCCCTCGAGTACATTAAAAAATATATGATAATGTAAACTGAGATTCATGGTCCTCTTAAGGTATAACATGACTCTTTTAATGGCCTGTCAATGCTCATTACTCTGTACAATAATGATTTCACATCATTAACAGCATGAAGGTTATCCAAATATGAGTAAGTCATCTATATAGAGACATAAGATAGTGCAAATGCCATTTTTTCAGATTTGTAATAAACACATTTTAACTTTCATTCACTTTGTAACCATTTAAAGTTCATTGTGGACCAGCTCTTTGGATTGACTGCATTTTGTAAAATAACAACATGGAGAAGTGTTCAAAGTGTTCAAGAGTTATCTAGCTTGATTAAGATGTATGAAGGTACAGAAGGGACACATGTTGGACATGATGTCCCAACATGTTGCTACAACATCTGGGCATTGCACAATAGATCATTGCTGCTACGTTTTGGAAGATTCTCTGGTCAAAGATTGGGTCAGATTTTATTGCTATTGGCTTAGCAATATGATTAGGTGATTTATTTGACAACTGGAAGAAGATTAATTCATATTTAAATGGAGATTTAAATTTAAATTAAAACAAATCATATCTTGTTGTAGAGATTTATGGAACAAAATAATATCCAAAAGATTATGTATTATTTATGGACGAAATCAAGTTAAATATCCATGGAGAAAAGCCCATAATTATTATGCTATATAAGGAGCTCAAATATACATTGAAATTCAAGCATTCACTTTGAATATTTTAGAGTGCTAGGTTTACAAGAGTCCTTGTTACTTTATGTACACCACACTATGTTTTCTTAACTTGACATAGTTATAGGTTTGTCTAGTTGAATTGTAAGATTCAACATCACTCATCTTGTTGATTGAACTTGATCACTAGATTTTAGTGATTGTAATCCAAACATTAGGGTTTAGTGTTTGAGAAATAGAAAGTTAAAGGGTGTCTCATATTTAGGGGGAGTACTAAATATAAAGTCATTGTATAGTGTTAGAAAAAGACTTTGAGCAACATATGTTTTGTTGTTGCTTGTAAGACTAATTGCACTAAACTACTAATAGTGAATTTCCTTTCTTCGATTGGAAGCCAACCCTTCAGAAATAGGTGCAGGTTGCATCGAACTACCAATTGATTGTATTATTTATTGCTTTTCTGCTCCATCATCATGTACAAGTTGTGATTATGGTTTAACTTGTCGAACCAGCTGCAAGGACATCGCGTGCGACATCTGTCCCTTGAGGAACAAAATTTAATTGGTATCAGAGCAGACACCCTAGCCTGTTGGGTGAGCTCTATGAGTGTAATATCCTCTCTTAAAATTTTTGAATGATGTCAAAACTAGATAATATGTAGTATTTATACATCAAACCTTATCTCTATATCTATAGGTTGCATTTTCATTTTAGGACACTTATAGAACAATTCAAAAGCATTAGAACAAGTTAAAAATGTCAAAAATATTTTTTTTTTGTGAAAAATCATGTTTAGAGTCAACTCACCCGTGGTAGGATTCAACTTCCTCTAAAACATATTGAAAACAAAATTCTATGTAAAAAAGGAGTCGATACATAGGGGCTTTGGAGTCGACACACAACACCAAGGAGTCAACTTCCTTGAGCTGTAGGTCGACTTCCACTGAAAGGTATTTTTGATTTTCAATCCTTGTCCAGGATGGGTCGACTCCCAAGCATTTGGAGTCGATACATAACACAAAGGATTTGACTCCCACGTGTTATGTCTCTACTCCTACTGAAGAATATTTCTCAAAAAATTCTATCCACTTGGAGTCGACTCCCAGAAAGTATGGGTCGACTCCCTTGCCCTTGTGGGTCGACTCCCACTTCGAATGAGTTGGCTCCCACTTTTAAAAATGTCCAATTTTATAAATTTTCAATCCTATTTTTTCTATTTCATTCTTTCACACACTCACACATATATATAGTTATTCATGTATCATTTCTCACAATGGAAACCAAAAAATATACAAAATCTTTACATCATCTTTATCCTCTCTCATTGCATACATACAATAACTACATATAATCATTTTTGTTGCGTGATCTTGAGATAGTTTGATAAGGTTCACTTTAGAATTGGTGTAATCAAATTGGGTTAGAATGTTCTGGGTTTTTCAAGATAAATCCAACTGGAATTTTCTTACAAGATTAAGGATTGATTTGGAAGTTTTTTTACAAGATTGCGTAATTTGGATTCAGCCAAGTGAAAGCTTTGAAGAACGAGGATTTCTATCAAAAGAGTAATGATAACCAGAGGATCACATTGGTAATCTTGGGTCACGATATGTTTGAAATTTGGATTCAGCCGAGTGAAGGTTTTGAAAAATGGGGGTTCACTCAAAGGAGTAACAATAATCATAGGATCAAATTGGAAGTATCAAATTACTTGATCGATCTCAAGATCAAGGGGAGAGAAGAATTTAAGATCAACACCAACCATAGGATTTAAATGGTTGGATTGCTACTTTTTATCTTGTAAACTACATTTGCGAAGGTTAATTTTTATTATCTCAATTCTATTGGAATTGGGGCCAGACATACCCATAGCGAGGTTGATTGGGGAACTGCCTAAACAAATCCGTGTGTGTGTGTATGTCTCTCTCTCTCATTTACATTTACTTGCAAATTGTGAAATAATTGATTGTGCAATCGGTACATAAAGATAAACTCCTTGTTTAGTAATTCAAACTTCTTTCTTGAGTTGATTATAATCTATGTGATTGTAATTAGATTTACATATCAACAAAATAATAGAAAAATCTGT